CTAAATGCTTAACATGTGTTGGATTAACTTAACATAACTTGCACATCACATTGTGTTTTATATGTATATTTAGGTAAATTAAGTTTTTGTGTTTTGCTAAACCTATGCTTAAATTAAACTAAAGAATATCACCAATAACTAAATTGTAGTCGTTGATTTTTGTTTTCTAAAATCTGTTGTATATGTGTAACTATATTTAATTATCAAACGGTAATACAAAATACTCTTATTTTATCTTAACATAGCTTTCAGTTCACATTTCCTTTATTTGATACATTTATTATTTGTGTTTTGCCACACCACTGATTAAATTAAACTAAGGAAAATATAATAAAACTAAGCAGTACAGAGTGTTTTTTGTTTCTAAAATCAATGAAATATCTATTACTATGATTACTTAATGGTAAGTGTGAAAATTTAATGGCAATGGATGATGGAACTGCTTAAAAGACTTGGTTTGTATATTAAGTTGTTTGTTGATATTTTTGTAGAGTAGAATCAGAGATGCAATGAAACATATACTGTATTTGCTATTACATTTTTTACTCCTTGATTCTTTGATAATCATATTAGTTTTGTCTGCTGTCTTAAATGCTAAATTATTTGTTTAACATTTTTTATAGTACCTATAGATATAGTTTCTTTAATATTTCAAAAGACTGTATTGATAAGGCACAGCAATATTTCTAAAGTTTATAACAGCTGACTTAGTTTTGCTAATGATTTATTGTGAGTGAAGAAACTGAAGATGGAAGGATTTGTAATTTAATATAAAGAAATTAAGAAAAGAAAGAAATTTAAAAAATGTTCATTTAAATTCAATAATTAGTATTTTTGCAACTTCAAAATTGAAATTTAAAATGTCAATAATAAATTAAAAGATAAGTAATTAAGGGAGATGAAGGTAAATCATGTATGTCAAAGTTTTATTCGAAGATTTGTTCAGTTTTTCTCATATCAGTCTACACAACATTCAAAATTAATCAAAACCAAAATGGTGGTATCCACTACTTACCAGATATAAAAGTCATAACTTACACGTTTCTATTAAGGCTATAAAAGTTGAATTTTCTTTCTAAAAGCAATGGCGGATGTGTAACTATTATATGCAACAGATGTAAAGATTAAAATGTTTCTATTTTGTGTCCTCTTACCGTTGCAAAGCACGGGTACAACAGCTAGTGCATGTATATTTTAATGATCATGAAACAGATATTTCCCGTTTCGAAGCACGGGTACAGCAGATGGTCCACAATAAATTCCCAATAACACTACAACTATGCACTACGCAACAATGCATATCAGCTGATTGGCAATGGAATAAATAATAATATGGTGATTCCAAAATGTGAGCTGGTTTTGTCTTTAAACAGTGTCTATTGGTACTTGTAATTTGTTTTTCATAAAAAAAACACCCCGTATAATAAGTCATTGTAGTGTACCAGTGGCTGTAAGCAACGCACGCTAGCGGGAAGCCCAATTTAGTTATTTATGTTCTTGAGGCCAACACGCAAACTGCAGTGGGAACTTCAACTCCATAATGTTCAACGGTAGTATGCAGAAACAAACCAAACCGTTCGTCGTTCGTTGCACATTGTCGTAAAACCAAACAGAACAGCTGTATGATCACAACAATGGACAACGACAGCTGATAACTCCACAGGGCTTCCCTTCCCACGCCAACTGCTGACGAAGTGACATTCAAGTAAAGAGGTCGCCAATCAGCCATTACTAGCAGTGCGCGCGAAAATGTCAGTCATTATTGTACACTTATCACTTAAATTATTATCATCATCATCATACTACCTTGCATACTGTAAAAATACTGTTTATTTACTCTATGATTCTTTACTCTATTGCAATGTTTTTAAAGTGTCCGAATCCTGAGAGCAAATCACTGAAGTTAGATTTTAGTAGGGGATGGCCATAAGTACTACCGAAAACGTACAACCGCTCACTTAAAGCCATATTAATTGTCTCTTAGAAACTCCAAAAATGTATAAGAAATTGGGAAAGTGTTTATATAACATCATGTCACATAACGTCATCTCCGTCTGGGGGCTCAAATATAGACCCATTCGTTTCAAAGAGCATCAACTAATATTCCGTCCTGTTTCGGCCAATTAGTGATTGGAAGAGGTACAAGTTATTATCGTGGTGCCGGTCTTTGTGTGGTACGTATGTACGTGTGTGCGTGTGTGTGTGTGTGGTCGACGATCGTTTGACAGCCATAACATCTCTTTCTCCGCCTTGTGACGGTATTGCCGCCGCAGGTATTTCTGGCCGACCCGACAGTGACAGTTATACATAGACGGCCTCACCTGTTAAGTTTGCTTTCAAATCATCTATTGTTTCCACTTTTGTTCTTCCATCTTTGTGATGCCGTTTCTTCATTGACTTGAACGAGCGAATCAAAAATAAAATGTCAAAATGCAGGGTGCCGAGTGAAGTAACTCTTGGTGTTGTTGAATTGCCGATTTTTGCAAATACGCTGCAACGCCGACGCCGCAACATTATAGACTATTATGTATTCTTTTTTAATCAACTTCAAGCTCGAGCCCTTGTTTAATCTGGTTCGCGGTGAAACTGATTGAGCGCGAAGTTGTTGTATATGTCTACTACACTCTAGTCTACTCCAAGCATGTCCATGTTCTTCGTTCTTCGCCCGTATATCCGACGACGCGTGCCTTTCAGTTCCGCCGTTCCGCCCGTGCTCAGGACTTCCGGTCCAGGACCACCACTTCCGGCGGACACATGGCGTCTTGTTACACTACAGTAGCGACCCCTTCGCTCACATGGGAACATTATCGTCCAATCAAGCTCAATTAGATAAGGTCTGGGTTACCCCTCTGGCAGCAGATAATCAACTTAAGGTGAACGGCGCGGGAGAGTTCTGGCTCATTGGTTTGGTAGGATACTGTATATAGTTTATGACTTGGTCAATGAAACTGATCGATACGAGATTGAATGAACTGTCGCAACGTCACCAAAATCAAGAAAGTACACAATCTCCGTGGTAATAAAAGTGTCTGCAATATGTCCAACGTTTCAGTCGTAAAACGATTATAATAATTAGCTCATTGAACTAAATTAATGTCATAAAAACGTTATTACAAGATAAGCCATGAAAGCCCCCTCCCCTTGATCGCTCTAGTTTTATTCCTGTGTTTGTTTGGGCATCTAATAGATGAAAGCGAGATACCGTACTGTGTTGTTACTCATCCAATCCATTGTAAAATAACTTTGGTGTCAATAACAGTAGAGTTTTGTGTTGAATGTGTAGCCTGTATCCTATATTCACGTGTGTGACCAATTTCGCTAGATAGCGTCTGTAGTGCTTCAGTGCTTGCAACAATACTATTTGAAGTCCCATTAATTCTGAACACAAACACCGATTGAAATAATATACTGTAACGTCAAACACCGATAAATAACATATCTCAACTAGGCCATATCCTCAGTAAAACTAATGTTTTGCAGTGTTTAACTGATTCAATGTTCATAGAGAGTAACTTTAAAGAAGCATTTATGATAAAATTATTAAAAATAGTATTCTTAGAAAACCATGAATATCGTGCCATTATTTAGAATGATAAATATTCGAGTTGTGTGCCGTAGTAAACACAAAAACACATATTCCAAAACGATAAATGGTTAAAGTTTTACAGTACACCAAGGTGTATTCGCTCAAAATACCAAATTGGTAATTAGTGTGTCATGTAATTTTGTAATGAGCTGATAAAAGAGCTTACCATGCGGTGATATACAAGTGTAACAGCAAGATGTCATCATGGCCAGTTGACGATATTATTTCCGAACACTCCAAGATAGTCTCGAAGTACATAGATACACAGTCACGTCAGCGTCTTCTTACAACAAGAATTCGTCATACTGTAGTGTGCAGAGGCTCGACTTCTGCAGATTGTATTGCACATGATTGCGTCACTTCTGTAATGTCGTGAGGCTGAAGGCCTAGAGACTACCAGGAGAAAGTGCAAGTGTACAACGCTGTCCTGCCTGTACAGCTCGGCCAAAACTTCTGTGCGCGTGGACGGGTCGCTACTAGCCGAACTAAAACATACGGGTACCGGCTATTGGCAGTGCTGGGGGTAGTGGTGAGTGAGTAGCAAGACACAAATGTTTTCACAAAAGTACCCCCGCCAACCCCCTCGCCTACTCCGCCTAGACTCAACCAGATCTGGTCGCGCGCACAGAAACTTTGGCCGACCTGTACCCTCTAGTCCCTGTATCGGGTGTCTTCTTGCTACGGCCTGGTTGCTATGGCCGGATTCCGTTCTCAGGGAAGTGATACGGGATATGTGCGATAAACTGATAAAGGGTAGAATCGCCGGTGTTTAGAAGTGTTAGGTGTTTGGATATGTACATGTGTGACTCAGGCTTCTCAGAACAATTCAATGATAAATTACGTACTGCGGATTTCCGCATTTTTTAAATTTAATTTAACCATCTCATGTGAGCTTTTTAGTTTATAGAGTTAAGTAAAGTTAGGTGTGTCAGCTTCTCACGTAAGTTAGATAAGTTTAATTTTTTACATTGAAAATGTTTTCTCAATAATAAAGAGTCATGACATCTGTAAAGTAGTCAATATTACCATGTCATGCAATGTTTTTAAACCTTCCAGAAACGTTTATTAGGTGATATCAACATAGAAACGTTCTACTAACAAACGAGTGTTTTATTACATTGCATTAAAATGACACTTTGGTAAGTATAAACCAAATCTTTGGGTTCGAAAAACAAAATACCAATATGTACCAATTCATTAAATTTGGTTAACAAAATTAAATAAATTAAAATTATGTGAAAGTAATAAGTAAATGTAAACTCCCTTATACGACCCTATCCATTCGAACACACCCCCGTGGCCCCGGGATATAGGCTACTGCAACAGGGGTTTGGCACTAATTTTCACTTACGTACTATTTTATTGTATAAAAGTAAATAATATAATTACAATGTAACATAGTTAGCCTACTTACGTCTGGAGTTATTGAGATTGGGGTAGCATTTTTGTCCGGCAGAATACTCGGGGTAGATTGCTTCTGAGGAGACAAGCGAGCTGGAAAACTCAGAGTCTTCGTCCACTGCGCGAAACTACGAACCATTGTGCAACCAAAGTCACAAAACACTTAGTCAAAATTGCATAACCTCACAGGAAGATGTGGGTAAAACTAAGAGACGAAGAGGACGGACAATACACACTACGACGTTGTCGGCTCCCGAAGACAAGACTGACTGTTGGAAAAACAGAACAGCTGACTTGCCTGTCTCTGGTGCCCCTCTCCCCCCTCCACTAGCACGGCCTTTGTTGACCTTGCCTCCCCTACCTCGCCTCCCTTGATACAACAATGGGAACATAGCTCTTCTCTCCTAATGGCTAGTCTGCTATTCCTTTTTCGGCATAATTGTCGTCTGACACTTTTAACGCTTCAGAGCATGTCGGAACTTGCTCGTATCCCAGGTTTGACTTGACATCTATCTCGATATCTAGTCCTGGTTTCCAACTACGACTGAATCGGCGTAAAAAGCTGGACTTGTCGTACTTGTTCTGTACACAGCCAACGGGTTTGATCAACTGATACAAAAATATCTGTATGTATAGATGTTTGATATACGTTGGATAGTCTGTCAGTTCAGACAGATCAGTTAATCAGCACACAATCATTTTAACTATCAGGTAGCTATCAAACAAATCCTTTTATCTGTGAGGTAATTATTTGTAGAGGGAATGTTTTTTGTTCATTTCATTTTCGAGAGAGGTGAAAGAGCCTATTGTTTTCATTGTGCAGTACACTCTTCTTCATGCAAGAATTAAATACCGTAGTAATACGCAATGGTCAACGGGTCACATAAGACCTATGGTATACGCTCTGAAATCATCAAGTCAAATCAGTTTTATCGTAGATAAAACATAGTTTTATTTACACAAAGATTATGACAAAAAAATGTTTAATACCGTAAAATACTGTACAGTAAAAGTAACTTGAGAATTATTATTTCAATTATAAACCAAAACTATAAACTATCATAAAAGCTGGAAAAATAATGAATAAAGAATAAAAACATAGCCTACTGTATTGCTTCCCATAGCAACAAGTAGGGTACTGTGAGATAAGTCGAATGGACGTCAGTGGGTTGTGCTTGGACACGGAGTTATTAGAAATAGTTTTCAATTTCTTGCCCGGAACAATTTGAAACCTCCGTATTTATTGTCTTTTAAAATCATGTTGGATTTCTTCAAATAATTTGAAACATAAGAAAAACTATTTTAATTTTACAATAGAGAACGTGTAACGGAGATGCCAATAACCATATATAAACATTTTGTTTATTTGGGACATTTTCTCAAGTCCCTTGTCGCTTTTTAATTCAGTGCGTAATAGATAAAATTATACTTCAGAAGTAATAAATAATGAGAAGAAAAGTTCTCAATAATCAGGTCCCTTTTAAAAGGTTAATACTGCCAAATATTATACAAATCGCGAATGGTGTCGCTGCTATCTTTCTTTTAAATAATAAGATACAAAACTAGATTATTATACACAATTACTAAATAATAAGACAACTAGACCTCTCTATCGATTAGTCAAGAATAAAGCGAAGAAAATCCGGCCCAGAGGACCAAAACTGTGTCAAGGTCGGGTCTAATCTTAAGCTGTTGTAAATCAGAAGAGAAACGTTCAAACCCGTCGCCACCCGGGTAAGCACAAGCAGAGATGTCGGTTGACGACTTTCCCACAATGATCACGTGTATACACGTGTCTTCTGTACAACAGTAACAGTCTAGACCCGCTACCGGACACCTACTGTGATAGATACGCTCGTGCTTAGTGATAAGATATTTTAGAAAATATTCCTAGGTTATGCTGTTTTGTTACTTTACAGCGTAAGATACTATTTTATTGCAAATACTTGGATACTTTTTGCTATTGTAACAAAACAGCAGAAAAACTGCAACAATTAGCTACTTGTTATTTTGAAATGTCAAATAAAATTGGAATATTCTCGATTACTAAAATAGTTGAAACAGGAAAGTACTGTAAAGTATTTCTGTTTTGGAAACAAAAGCCCTACACGCTTGCTGGTTTGGTGCTGTGGACATAACCATGACTCACAGCACTTATCAGTATGAAAGTCCAGAGCTACGTCTTGGCAGTCGGACAAGCAGACCTGGGATGTTGACTCTGAGTCAGGATTCAAAACTCGAGTCTAGACAAGAATGCTTTGTGTTCGTGCGAACTGAGCACTTAAGAAAACAAAGATCACTTGGGAAAAAGAAGGTCTACACAAATTAAAAGACATGCATAAATAATTTAAATGCTATTCTTGTTATTTTATTATTTCCGTAGCAGTGATCCACAGATTACTACTTGTTTAATCCACAGACCACAAAGCATTGCTGTTTCAATACAATCATATCAGCGAAGCGTTCAGTGTATCGGGCATTAAAGTTTCTAGATCAGATGTCACATAAAGGTGTTCCAGTTCCATCACACAGAAGCGTTACTTGTTACGGAGATTCATATACTGTACTTCTATCATTTCTTCCAGGGATTGCGTGATTTGCGAGAGACTAAAACAATACGAACCCGAGCACGTGGGTCGTTGTTTTTGATGGTTATTAGTCAGGGAGACCATCTCGAACGCCGTGGGAACCCACTGGCTACAGGTTGGATACTGTCTGTAGCAGTGTCTGGACCACCGACCTTGTGAGCATCTCTGTCTCACCTACCAGACAAGCACAACACATGTGCATATAATAGTATACAATGCATTTTGTGTTGCAGAAAAAAGTGTGTATAAGCTATACTTACTCGAATATAAAAAGAGCGTTATCTGTGTGTTATCCTTGGATAAGTATGAGAGCGTAAATTAAACTTAAAGTACAGTAAAGCCTTATGTAATTTCAATCAGTATACTCTTGCATTTGAACAATGTGTAGGCATAATCTGTGTTAGTTGGTTGGAGGAAACTTCTATGATATTGTTAAATGATTGCGAACGTACGTATCAAAGGGGAAAAGGTCAAAATCCCTATAATTACTGTGTATCAACTGGAGATCAAACCCGCACAGAAGTCCGAGACTCAACCAGCAGATGTTTGGTTGCTAGCTTTACATATAAGCGAAGCAAATAACAACACACCCCAAGTGAATTCTTTTGATATTCACTTTAAGTTCCAGTAATGATGTCATGTTCATCAACAAATCTATTCGCTTATCTTCTATGTACTTTTGATTTTCTCAACCGAAACCTGGTGGCAGCTCGTCAATGCCACCTTCAATAATGGCTGTACAGTATACTATCACCTATCACCTGCACCTGGGTTTCGGTAAAATGCACTTTATACACCCATACCATCGGTAATCGGCGGCGTGGGAATAAAGGCGTGATATCAGCTGTTGATCCTGCACGATCCTGTCCAAGGACACCGCGCCGTCAGGTCACGTCCTGCCTGCATCCTGCGCTGCGTCTCATCTCCACATATCGTCCATCTCCAGGAATGTGGTCCACATGCCAGACAATACTGCACAGTGTGTGTACTGTACACTCTATACATTGATGTAGTCGATTGCACACCAGGACCTTGGCACATATCGACATTTTGGGTTGGTTAGTGTGTACTTGGTGGTTTGTTTACAAATGCAGTCAAACGTCATTAGCCTCGCACATTCCTGATTTCGGAGTAAAGAGAAACATTATACAATTATATTTGTTAAAGGATTATTTATTCTTTGGATACGACAGCAATAACCTATTACAAAACTTATGTAAGGACAGAAATACTATATTTGACTACCGATTATTGCAATTAATTTATAACCGTGTCAATTAGAATAATAAACTTTTACTTTCCGTTTATAGATACAATTTATGGAAATTATTAATCACAATGCAAACAACCAAAAAGATGTTGATAGTTGTTGTAAATTTTGAAATTTACTCTGTGGTCGTGAAAGGGGATAAAAAAAAACAAATTATTCTTGATATTTTCCTATAAGGCAAAATGCATTACTTCAAATGGTTAGCTTTATAGAAATAATATTTCGTGTTTATAACTAACAAATTCATTTATTTATACATTGATTTTCTAATTTGCCATAACAACTAGTTGGACGTTGTAACAACACAAGTTAAATTTAAATCACATAAAAAGGTGTCAATGCATGTAACGAAACGATCATTTAACAAACTCTAATTTAACACTCCAAATTGGTTTTGAACCCGTTGAAACACTACACTCAGTGTTAATAGAACAATCATGTTAATGACCTAAAGACGTAAGTGCATAGGTTGAACGGCCTGGGCCATAGAGGAACACCTCTAGCCACAACACAACAAAACGAGGCATAGAACATCCTCACGCTACGAGCTACTACACAACTGACACGCGAAGCATCAGCTGATAGCGTCATTAGATGTCGCAATGCCAGAAATAAGCATTGAAAGACTCCAACAGAGGGCCCGGGGCCGTAATGATGGGTTTGGAGCAATCGGCTCAAATGGATCCCCGGCTATTATTTACTGTACTTCCCATCCTTTGAGCATTTCAGATAAAAAAATAGTGGTATTTTTTCCCGAAGAACCAGCTTTGTATTGTTTTGTTTCCAGTCATTTGTCCCCAAATGAAAGACAAGAAGAAAATATATTATTTGGGTTTTTTGACTTGCCTTGAGATAGGAAAACCAAGTATCAAAGCAAATAACTTTTTGTACAGTGTTTAAATCTTTTTGACATTCAAATAGGAAACGTGTGAAATAGTTTTCACAAAACAAAATCATAGTTATCGTTATCATCATATTATGTAATAGCCTAATATAGGAAGAATAACAAGGTACAAACTAGAGGCTTACTATAATATAGTATCCCTCTCGTTTGTACCTAATAACTAGTTATGTTATCAGCTAAAACCCAAATATTGGACGAACATCGTCCACCAGTACGAACGTACCATGCCTTTACAGATACGTACAGAAAACGTTTAGGTTTACGAGACCCACGAAGTAGTACTGTAATAAGTTTCAGTAAACTATACATTATTGTACTGCACATAACAAAGACTACAATTTTGGAAAGTATTGTACTTAACTTAGTTGAGAATATGCTCAATTAATTAACCTAAACATAGCCGGATACGTGAGGAATGTGAGGAATCCAGCATATTAGCAAGTAATAATGATAATTGTGGGAACCTTGAGAGTT